TCGGTGCCTTTCACATGTATCATTGGATGTATCACGCCATTCAAAGAGGCGATATCGAGTGTGCCGCGCGCGACACCCGCGCTCCCTGCTCCCGCCCGAGCGATGTCTCCGTCGATTCGAGCGAGGGCGGCGCTCCCTCTTCTCCTGCTGCCCGTGCGCCATAAGTACCGCGCTAGTCATCATTCTCGCGGCCGTGTGCTATGCTCGAACGCTCTGCTGTCTCTCATCTCGGCAACCTGCTGCCAAGGCCGGGCACCGTCAAGCTGTTTCAGGTCTCCCCGGGACTGGTGCGACGTGGACCTTGCCCCGCCCGGACGCGCACCCGGACGTTCTTCACTGCTGGCTGTTCTCGGATACCGCCAGCGACTATGCCTACTATGGACGCCCTCACGGCCCGCCGTGCGCACTCGACCCAGCCTCAGGGGAAGGGGAAGGAGCCCGCCTCGCACGACCACAGCACGCCCGGTCACTCGCACTCGCACTCGCATTCACATTCGATATTCAGTTCCATGGGCCATACACACGGGCCAGATGAGGGGCACGCAGAGCAGATAGTAGAGGCGTTGCAGAGCGGAGGTACGTAGCCGTGTACGTCCTGCATGCGCTCGCTGCGCGCACCGTCCGCTGACGCGCTCGCATGCAGGCTTCAGAGACCGCGGGACCAGGATCACGCTCCTCGGGCTGTTCGCGAACATCGGCCTGACGGCGTCCAAGGGCGCCGCGGGCTGGTACATGAACTCCGCGTCGCTGCTCGCGGACGCGGGGCACTCCCTCAGCGGTATGTCCGCGCCGCGCCCTGCTCTGTGCCGCCCGCGCCTGACCCCCGCCAGACCTGCTCGGCGACTTCGTCACGCTGACGTGCTGGAAGCTGTCGCGGCGGCCGCCCTCGGCGCGCTACCCGTACGGCTTCGGCAAGTTCGAGGTGCTGGGCACGACGACGGTGTCGCTGCTGCTCACGGCCGGCGCGCTGGGCATCGGCGTCCACTCGTGGGCGCTGCTCATGGAGGCGCTCTCGCAGTCGGCCGCGGCGCTGCCGTCGGGTGTGGTGCACGACGTGCTCGAGACGGTGACGGCCGCGGCACACAGCGTGCCCGTGGTCGTCTCTGAACATGCGCATGCCCACGCACACGCGCACGCGCTCGACCCGAACGCGGCGTGGTTCGCGGCGGTGAGTGTCATAGGGAAGGAGTGGCTGTACCGGGTGACGAAGCGCGTTGCGGACGAGGAGCGCAGCCCGGTGCTCTTTGCGAATGCGATACACCACCGGAGCGACGCGTACTCGAGCCTCGTTGCGCTGCTGGCCATCCTGGGCACATGGTGGTTCCCCCACCTGCCACTCGATCCCATTGGAGGTGAGATATTACGACCGCTGCGCGACGTCGACGCTGACAGCGGCTGCTCTAGGCATCATCGTCTCGATACTCATCATCAAGCAGGGCTGGGGTATTTTGGCTGGTGCGCTGCACCAGCTGACAGATGGAAGCGTGTCACCTCGGACGAGAGCGATCCTCGCGAAAGCTCTGGATCCACTACTCCCTTCATCAGACTCTGCGGCCGCACGTTCACATACGCCTTCCCGTGCGCAGGTCGAGAATCATACCGAGAACCTGCGTGCGATCCGCGACCTGCGCGCGATGCGTGCTGGCGCGCTGATGTTCGTTGATCTCATTGCCGAGGTGCCGCGGACACTGAGCATCGAAGAGGCGAGCGATCTGGAGGGCAAGATTTCGCGGGCTTTGAAGGGTGCGAGGAAGGAGGTGGCGGAGGTGCGGGTAAAGTTCCGCCCGGTAGACGAGGAGATCGTGCACCGGCATGAGGACCATGATCAGGACCACCATTAAACTGTATTACTGTTGTAATGGCATTCTCTAGGATCTTTGATTTATTGCACACTCAGAGACGTCGGCCTCTGCTGAGAGTTCTTTCGGCTTTTATCTATATGGGGACAGGTGCGCGTGCGTTACGTTTTAGTGGTCCCAGTCCTTGGACGTGCCGCCGGTACCGGAATGTTACCGCTCTGCTGTCCTAATTTTTGGCTGACAGTCACCACCGTCTTCGACTGTGCGTTCCACTTGTGGTCTAGCGGCCTATCGGAAGCAGTTTGTGATCAGATGTGAGGTCTAGACGTTATCGTATCCATGGCTGGGTCAATTTTAGAACTCCCCGCAAGGCAATGGAGGTTCCCTGCGGGTGACAAGGCATGAGGGCATGCGTTCGGCCGTCAGAAGATCTAGCACTCGGGATCGTAATGCGGCATTGGGCGTCTCGCAATCTCCCCGCTTCTGTCCGCCACACAAGATTCAAACATAAAAGTTCTGTCATGCATCATCGTTACATTTCCCACAGGTGTGGACCCTCTTTCTCCTTGACCTGTCGCATCCCCGCGAGCACCAGACCAGGCACACCCACCGCCGTGTGCACTTCGCGGACGATCGCCGTGTATATGCGTCAGCAGCGATCACGGAACCATTCGTAAGTGCATCATCCCGCCTCGCCCTCCGCTTCTGGGCCATTTTGAATGCCTCTGTGCCTCCTTGGCACGCCCCGAATAGACACCATGTCCCCCATGTCTGCACCGGAAGAGTCGGACAGGTCGGAAGATGAGTTCGAAGAGGGGCCGTCCAACAATGCGGCGACGCAGCAGTCTAAGAGAAGCCAACGAGGTGGGTTAGCATTCCCCTGGACGTCCGACTGTCGTTTCGTTTTGAGATGCGTTGGGCTTATGGTGTGGGTGTCAAGCTTGCGACAGATGTCGGAAATCCAAGAGCAAATGCCAGCCTGGGCCGGATGGCCCGACGCGCTGCAGAGCGTGCGCAGCGGCCAACATTGGTGAGCAATACAGCATTTGTCCTCCTTTTCATCAGGTGTCATTCTGACGACCATATCAAAGATTGCACTTTCTCAGGTCGGTGCAATTGCATCTGTTCAATCTTATCACGTCGCAACCTGATTGCAATTCAGGACCCAGCTTTAGGCGCGGTCCCCCAAAGGGTTATATCAAAGCATTAGAGCATCGTTTGCATCAAATGGAAAGCACATTAGCGGCTATCATGACATCTAAGGATCCTCGCGCCCAAGGTGTGATAGCTGACTTACGCAGAGATTCCATGGCGCGCGATATCCTCGAAGGCGTTGATACGGGTCCTTTTGTGAGTATATGCGGGCAAACCGCATTTACGAGAACTCATAACAGCAATCAAGGGCCCCACCGGTAGGGTCAAGCGGTCTGTTGACCCAACACAGGACAATTTCTTTGCTTCAATTGTCAGCGCGGCACCTCCGAAGCAAGCGAGCGAGCGGTCCCGACGTCAGTCTAGGATGAGTCGTGAAAGTGTCACAAAGAAAGGTCAGCGCAGGTCTTCTCCGGTTCAAATCTGTATAACTGACCGCCGCTGCTCCATAGATCCCTCCGTGTTAGAGCGGCCGACGCTGGAGTGGCAAGACCGTTTGTCGGAGGCACTCGCACTGTGGGCGGCAAACCCGGATACCCCTGAATATCCGCGTGGTCGAAGACGGGATCCCCACATGAGCAGTACAGAACTTCCTGCCATTTCTGAGTCGTCTCTGGAACCAGCCCGACAAAGGCGCCGACTGGATACGACCGCTCTCGCTCCTGATACTACTTGGAACGACTTACACGAAGCTTCAGGTTTGTGTCCTAATTTGTGAGGGTGGCGTGGCATTTAACCTCGCTTGTATGTGCAGACACTGACAGGGATGAGTTGGAAGACTGCGCCGATGCATTTGGTAATCTGTCAATTGACGAGAACAAAGAGGTACAGCCCTCTGGCCGAAATGGTCTCACGAGCTGACGTACCGGACGTGTCGGTGTAGGTGCGCTATCACGACAACACCTGCGGCCTGTATATCTTGGCCAGCGACAAAAGATGGAACAGGCGCAACTTGGGTGGTATATGGTACGAACTTCATTTACCACACAACTTTTGAGCTAATTCGCCATAACCAACTCCGTAGGAACTTCCCTATGTCACATTTTTGGCCTGGCATAGTCAGTGCGCCCGCAGAGTACCTGTCGCGCGATGGGCGCCCGACTTTGCCCCCGCTTGATGTTCAAGAACATCTCATAAACACATACTTCACGTATGTGAATCCTTGGCTGCCCGTCATCGACCAGGAGGACTTCGTGGAGCAGTTTCGGGCATCGCAGTACGATACTCTCGCGTACATCTGCGTCATGCGGCTGACATTTCTTCCGTTGGTTTGATAAGAATATATGGGTAAGGGATCATGTCTGGAAGTAGTCAGGATGTGCTTATCAAGGTTACGCAGCCATGAGACAAGCGCCCCAGGTGTCGATGAAGCTACGCAGACCGTTAGGCCTGAGCGGGTACAGAAGATCACCGATCTAATGTTGTTCTCCATGTTTGCGTTCGCTGCGCACTACTCGAACCGCGATTTGCGAGACCATGAGGCACGCCACATTCCGGATGGTCGACAACTGGACATGGGGGCTGAGTATGCAGCGTCGGCCCGTGCGGTCCTGGGTGAGCTTCATTTCACCGAAATAGCAACCCTGCTCAACGCTCGACGCCTTTGTCACGGGTTTACAGACACGATGTATCAATCGAGTCGTACGTCAACATGCCAGGCTCTGATTCTGCTCGGCATACGAGAGTTTGGTGTAGGTGGGTCACTGAAAACATACTGTGCCAGTCGAGCTGCACTTGCTCACCATCTCTTGTCACATGTGCCAGGTTACCTGGAAGTCGGATGGTTGCATGTTGGTAAGTGAACAATTATTATGCGTCGTCGTCAGTGTAGATTTCCGAGATTTGATGGGCGCATATATGCGTCCATTACACTACATGACACCAGAAGGATGTGGATACATGTTTTCGGTTCCGTGCCTTATCAATCACATGCTCGTCCTTCATCTCCCTACGCGATCGGCTGACTGATCTGTCTTCAGGTATGGCTCTGCGTATGGTATGTGTGAGTGCATAAGTATACCGGAGTTCGTCATCAATCTCCCGTGCCCCAGGCATTTGATCTTGGACTCAATCGCGATTCTGCCAAGTGGAGGAACCATGGAGAACTGCTTTTCACACCGGCACAGACTAGTGTTCGGAGGAGAATATGGTGGGCGTGCTGTTTGGCGGATAAGTAAGCTACATCGATCGTAGCGGCCAGTTGACCATTGACGGGACATGCTCCGCGTTCAAGGTACACTGCACAGTTTCTAGGTAAGTCTACCTTCATATCCCATGGTGCATCCTCAACTGATGTTCTTCCAGGACGACCAATGGCAATACACGAAAGCGATTTCGCAACATTACATCTTGATCTCCCTGATGTGAGCCACTAATGATGCTGTGACGAATAGGTAATACTCACAGACAATGTCGCTTGCAGGATGATGGTGTTCAGCTGTGGGCACCAAATCACCCTTCACCATCGGGCCAACAGATCTCGCCTGTTCCTGCCAACTATATCAACTATTCACGTGAAATATCATCGTTGAGTATGTGATCTGCTCGCCTGACTGACGTGACGGCTCAACTCTCTGCATAGCGATATTGCATGGTGAAGTTGTGGACAAGATCTACCCCATCACTCGCGATCCCACTGTGGCTCGGCGAGCCGCAATGGATAGGATTCATTCTCGCCTCATTCAGTGGTCACTTAACCTTCCAGAGACTCTGCGGTACCTTGCCGGACCTAGCCAGCCTTGCCCGCCCCCTCATGTGCTATATATGCATTGCTATTATTGGTCAATTATGCTCCTCCTGCATCGGCCGTTGTATGTTTTTTCCTCGTTCCTTCCTGTTACATGTAAATCTGACTCGATCTCGATACAGTATACCGAAAGATATCAGGTGCGTCTGTCCTCCTTACGCCGATCCAGCCAATCCAAACAGGCACAATGTCCAGCCAATCAGCGGTTCCGGGTCCATCGGTCAACGATCATGATACGATACCCTGGAAGTCATTAGATGTTTGCCAAAGTGCTGCTTCGCATATCGCAAAGTTTGGTCCGTCTCAGCATCAAATTACTTATGCGGTCAAGGAATAATCGTCTTCGCTTTCAGCAAGCCTATATCACCAACGATATGATCTGAAGTATGGACCTCCCCTCATGACTACCGCTTTGCAGAGCGCTGGGTGAGCTTTAGTCACGTTGGGCTTCAAACTTGCAGACTGACCAATCTCCAGGTTAATGCACGTCATGAAATGTGCGCTGTGACTGGACTGATTTGCGCATATACTCAGTTGAAGTTAACCCACCACTTAGTGAAGTTTTATCCCACCGACGTTCAAGCATTGACAGGTCTGCAAGACTGCATTGACGCATGTGCTAATTTGCGGGTGCGTAAATAAACTCGCCGGAGCACCCTCACATTCTCAAACATCTATGTAAGGCGTGCTGGCCTAGTGCTACACGTGTACGGGACCTGCTGAGGGGTGCCGGCATCCAGCTGAATCTAAGGCAAGAAGCCCTCGTCGAGAACCCTCGGAAAAGACCCATGCCGATTGTCTTCCAAGACGATGGCATCAATGAACCTGCCCTTCACTCGCATACACAGGTCGGCATATGGTCATCAGCAGCCGCTAGTACGGCTACTCAACAGCATCCGCTCGAAGCGCAGGCGCCGATCTCTCAAGTACCATTCAATATGCCTATTGCCCCCACGCCATCGTACCCTCTGCAAAACCTAGCAACCGGCCTTGAAGATGGCTTACTGGCAGATCTTCTTGGCCCAGTGACGCCCGGCACCGATTCAGCGATTGCAATGATGCCTGCGTTCGACTGGTGGCCCACCGTGCCAACAGCAGACGACCTGTCGTTGCCTCAGGGACAATTCCAGGAGCCGTTCAACAACGGAGCGTTCGTGATGCCAACTCAATCATTCACATTCGACACCAACCACTATTCCCCGGATTTCCTGCGCGGGATCAGAGACCCGATCTTGCATTTCCCCTCACCAAGCTACCTTCAATGAGAAGACGCGGTGGTGTTACAGAGTTCGTACAGTGTATTATCCTATTGCTCTCGCCCGCTTGTAAGTACTCACCCCTATCGCATGCTATATTGTAAAACTTGCCAAGCATATCCCATAGTCTCAATGATTCATTCATGCAATCTCGGATTTATCCGACAGTGAGTTATATGTGTCTCTCATGAGAGATCTTCGGCACCATCACCCTCCACATGACAATGCTTCGCCTGGCAGCTTCAGGCTTCAGATGATTAGACTTGATTGGTCGGGCTGAATTGAAGACAGCGTGATCTTCACTCCTGTTGGTCAGCCCTTGTGAAAACCTGTGAGAATCTTACTCATGACTTACTCAGGGCCCGCATTGGTTGGTGCGTGCCGCAGCCGACTTGGACCGGGACCGCTGCCACTCCCAGCCCAAATGGGACTGCTATCGCCGAAAATATTGCTGGTCGTCCTCAATGAGCCGGCGGAACTGCCACAAGAGGCAGGAGAGCTACCCTTTTTGACCAATGGTAGAACCATGCACGTGGAAGGCGGCCGCCGGGGGTGACAGGAGTTCTCACGTATCGAGAGCTCCAGGAGGTGATTGGCCTGCGGCGCCCGTCGCGGATACTCGGATTTGTTAAGCACGGAAGAATGCCTTTCGCTCCATTATCTCAGGCTGCACTACTTAGAAGACGCAGCGAGAGGATGCTATACGCTCATTTCTCGGGTCTCGTCAGCGCGTCCTCCCCCGCTCCCCATTGACGATGTACTCCGCCGTTCAACGCCTTTTGTCGGCTCCCGGCCGTTTCATCCGTTCTTTTAGTTCTTCTTCTGTTCGCAGTACGGAGTCTGGTCTGCCGAAGTTCAACACCGCTCCTTCGCACAAGTTGACTCAAAGTCCGAACCCCGGCTGGAAATGGGGAGACGGTCTTGCACCTGAGTCCAGCCAGCTTGCAAAAGAGTGGAAAGAAGACGAGCAGAAGGGCTGGAAGACGTTCTCGCTCAAGGAGACGCACGGCAGGTAAGTCCTCTCCGGTACTCTTCACTTAATGTCAAGATCTCAGCCCTGCGTGCGCTGACCTCAGGGATGTATACTTCCTCCTTACGAGCTCTATCGTACCCCGGCCGATCGCCTTCGTTTCGTCTTTGGCAGGCGATGGAACCCCCAACCTCGCGCCCATGAGGTACATATACTTTTGCAGCTCAGCCTGGTCTACAGATCCTAAAACCTCTTTACAGTTACTTCTCTCTAGTATGAGTCCTCAGGATATGCACTTTGCGTAGCCCGCTCACCCTCTTTCAGTTGGCGCACGATCCCCCCATGGTTGGCGTTTCGTTTGCCATCTTCCAGGGCATTGGCAAAAACACTCGAGACAACATCTTGGCGACGAAGACGTTCACCGTGAACATTATCAGTGAGCCGTTTTTGGACGCAGCAAATGCGACCTCGATCGATGCACCTCCGGAAGTGGATGAGTGGGTTGTCAGTGGATTAACGCCCGAGCCCAGTGTGCGTTCCTTTCTAACCTGTAACGAGTCTTTCTCATCGTCGCTAACGTTGGCCATAGACTCTCATCAAGCCTGCACGCGTGCGTGAGAGCGCCGTCAGCTTTGAGTGCGAGGTAAAGCTCATGCTGTATCCATAAACGCCACTTGCTCACAACATGTGTGTTATAGCTCTTCCATTCGCACGATCTCATCTCAAACTACGGTCCCGAGATGACGACGACTTTCATCATGGGCAGCATCAAGCTCATGCACGTGCGCAACGCTGTGCTCGCGGCGGACGGCGTCAATATCGACCCTGCCAAGCTGCGCCCTATGTCTCGCTTGGGCATGGTCACGTATGCGCGTCTCGGTGAGGGCATCGACCTCCCTATCCCTATGTGGGCGCAGACGGGTGAGGAGGTCAAGAAGTTCCTGGAGACGAAGAGCAAGTTGTGAATGGCCAATTCGCCCTACCTACCTCGCGACGATACCTGTTTCATACTTTTCGTATTGTATCTTGTTCTTAGACTTGGTTAATATGTCGTCTGTCCTGCCCATCTACTGTGCCTCGTGGCTCTCGAGCGAATCAGCCAAAGCTAGCGCTGGTATGAGCAAACCTCTAAGCACAGACAGGACGATGCAGGCCATAGGAACCCTGTCACAAGAGAGTGTATAACTGGAAAAGTAAACAATGCGTCCAAAGTACATATGATGGTGATCAGTATCGGGTACAGACATCCGCGAGATTAATCATAACAAGCGAGGAGAGGAATATAACATATAGATGTGAGATTAAGGAAGGTGAGTCTACTCTAAGAGCAAGAGCACGGTACTAGTATGCAGTGAGTGTGAGGCGGTGGAGTACATAAGGCGAGAGCATGTAGTCAGAGCAGATTCGACCTAGCAAACAAGAAAAAGGGAAATGAGTAAGAGTGTACGTAGAGGCGGACATAATACCCACATGAATGAGGAAAAAGGCACAACCGATGCAGCGGCTATGAAACAGCACCATTGATTATGTCAGGATCTCTTCGGCCCACTTGCAGATATGTTAGCATAGGAGTGATTAGGCTGTTCTGTCGACAGATAATCTCGAGATCGCGTCCACTCCATGTCCGTTGCTGCTGTTGCTGCTGCGACTGTGCAGATGAGTCGTGCTGCAACCGATCTTCGTCACTGCGATCACCAAGATCGTTGAGCTCGAGCTCGAGCCTCCCGGGTCCATGGCGATGATATACCTGGCTGCGCGATTTCGAGCGCACGTGCGGGCTGGAACCATTGGGTTGTCTTCGAGCCCCAGACGCCCCGTTGGCACTACGGTTCATGGCAGAACGCGGGCTGGAAACACTACTGCTGTGGGCACGTCTAGGTGGCGTCGCACCATTGAGACGGGCCAGGGCTTCATCGACGGGCGACAACGGCACGGATGGGTAGTCGTCCTCTGATGAGATTAATGTGTCCTGGAGCACCCGTAGTGCCAGACTCTCGGCTGCCTTCTGAGAGCTAGAGCCTGATGCCTCGGCGGGTGAAATACTCGTGGACGCGATGTCAATCTGGCGTTTGAGTGAGACTGCCCACTGATGACGGACGAGTGAGTCATCGACGCCGAACATGTACTTCCGCTTTGCGCCATTGTGGTTCACAAACGCGAGCTGGAACGTGTTGCGCATGAATGCCCGCTCGACCATCACAGCGCTACTAAGCGGCAGTCCCGTGTAGAGGATGCCGTTGGGCCCAGATCGCCACATGATAATAGTCTTGGGTCCAAGTGACGTCCCTGTAACGCGGAAAGACGTCTCCGATGATCTGACGAAGCTAAGGACCGGGGGGTCGAACACTAGATCTTGACCGAATAACTGGATGGTGAGATGGGGATCGGGCTGCGGTATGCGCAAGATGATCGGCTCGGATTGTATGCGGTACGTCAGGCGAGTTGGCAAAGGCCGCTTGATCGTGATGGGAACATCTGGGGTGTCACCAGATGCACTTGGATCGCGTGCTTGCGAGAGCCTCTCTCGCCGAATGGAGGCGTAAATCTTGTCAAGCAAGTCATCCAGCACCAGACCTCTTGGATCGTATCTTCTAAAGGCTTCGACAAAATCGCGAGAAATGACGTTGCGTTTAGGATACCCAGTGGGTCCAGGCTCGTCAGTGATTTCACCGTGCATGACTTCGTTGAGCTGGGCAATGGCGCGCACCAGTCGGACGGCCAGATCCTTATCGTAGGCAACTATTCCAGCATTGGCCTCGTGCCAACGACTAGCGAAGGAATCCATGAGGTACTCAAGCGCTCCAGTCTGATTGCCCGATCGAACCGGTAGGTGAACCGCCTGCAAGAAAACGCGAAGGGCCTTATCAATGCGCAAGCCAGTCAGGCTGTAGCTGTTGATGAATGCCTTCAACACGACCTTGGATGTTCGACGGGATAGGTATTCGCCTAACCTCGCTCTGTCTAGGTCAAGCGTCCGGAAGAGCAGCTGACCCAACGCGATCGGGTCCTCCCTAGCGCTGGTCTTAGTGGACAAGAACGCGATGGCACTGTCGGGATCTTTGGCAAAGTAATGCACGAAGCTGCTGATGACGGGATGTTTCATGGGATTGGCCCCATTGATACTCTTGGTGTGGCCTTCATCCCGCTCGCCAGAGAAACGAAGCTGCCGAAGCGGACAAACGCTTTTGACTATGAACTTCCTGTCGAGGGGACTTGGCTTCATCGTCTCGATCAGAATGTCCTGGTCGTGCATGACAGGCTTAGCAATAACCAAAATGTCGTTGAAGAGGAAGAGGAAGCGATCTTTGACAGTGTTAGCATTGACAACCTGCAGGACGGGTGAGGACAGGACGAGCTTCCGGGGAGGGTCATCGAGCGTGTTTGGATAGATTGAACTCTTCGAGCCCCGACCCAGTACTTCGTCAAGACGCGCCAGTATGATCGAGCTGACAGACACCTCATTCTCGCGCGGATCCGGCGATTGATGCGACGATGACATTGAACAAGAATCTGATGTTGACGGCGGGAAATCATCCAGAGAGGAGTGGGGATCTGGCGTGGTCGACGATGGAGGATCATGCGGCGAGGGAAATGACACTGAGAATTCTGAGGCATGAGAAGGCGAAATCACACCGTTCGATCTGCCTTCTAGATGGAATTCTCTCTTGGGTGAGTGTATGGTCTCCGGACTAGAGTCGTGCGACAGGACAACTTCGGTCTCCATATGCACGGCAGTCTTGAGCTCCTCCCGCCTAAGCGGTGCAAAAATCGCATTGCTGGGTGGGCTCGTCGGCGTACGAGCATTGTCATGGCCACTATCCTCCCAATCCGCCTCTTTACGGCCGCGTAGTATGTCTGATAACGACGGCTTCTTGTCGCCCATCCGTGGCCTAGCATCGACGGTCGCACTGGGAGTAGGAGCAGGCGATGACCCAAACAACTTCCTTTTGACATTCAACCACTTCTTGACATCCTCACGGTTCATGGGGAGTTTCACGGAGCCAGACGCGCTGGTGCCCGGAGTAGTCGTGGAGGGTATGCTGAAGTAGTCACCCTGCGAAGCGGATGACGGCACAGAAGACACAGGAAGCGGGGAAGTTGCGTTTTTGAACCGGGGCAAGAGGCGGCTGTCTGATGCCTGATGTGAGAGCTTCCGCTCCCTCCCAGGTTCCAATGAACGCCCTGCCGTATTCGACGAGCTCGAACTCGGGACCGACTCCATGGGGTTTCCATTGGTCACGTCAGGAGTTGAAACGGACTGGGCGACGCGATGCATTCGCTGCGCCTCAAGTTGCTTGATTCCTGGGAAAGGGAACAACTTGGGGTTATACTCGTGGTCGTATGAGATCATCTCGGCTGTAGCAGGCGGAATTGGCGAGTGCATCCCCATTTGCGGCGCAATCGGGAGCGAGAGAATGGAGGTTGACGCAGACGGTGGCTGTGTCTCATGGTTGGGTTGCTCGCCCTTTTCTCGCGAGATGCTGCCGTGGCTCTCGCGACTCATACTCGAGTCCGTGTTCTCCCGCCTGTCCCGGATGCTAATGCTTCCTGTCCGCGAGCGACGGCCGTTGACAGAGCCGCTCCTACCCAGTTGAAAGGGAAAGGCGTTCTTGACCTTATCCCCCCAGGTCCTGGTGGATTCACCCACCCGCTTCAATGTCGCTTCAGTGACTGTCGCACGCGAATCGTCTAAGTCTGGTGGGAAGTCTGTGCTCGACGGGGAACGGTCCATCTGGCTGGGTGTAGCCACGGAAAGACGTGCAGGGTACACGGTAGGCGAGGGCTGTGCAGGACCGGAGTGGGATTCACTCAGAGTGGACGTGAGAGGGACGATAGGCGATATGGGAGATGGCAGGATATGTGCTGATGTCGGTTCTGGGGAGGTTTCGACCTCGACGATCAACTCGCTCAACTGAGGAACGCGGTCGCCAATGGTAGTTTGCGGCTGCTCTCCTATCGGTTCCTCCTCAAATTCCAGCTCATCCTCGTCATCCTCGTCATCATGCAGCGGCATCCGCTCCCGCTCTGGCACTGTAGTGGACAGCCGTGAGTATTATGCAAGTATCAGCATTAGCAATACTTACCAGGCTCCGCGACCCAGCTAATCTCGCTTTCGCGTTCGAATGCTGCTAGTCGTGACCTACTCCGCACCAAGACTCGCTCCTCGTCCTCGTCTGGGTACATCCTCTCCTTGAGAGGCGTGGCAAACGGACTCGCAGGGAACATCTCCTGACCATATCCCACCTTTTGAGAGATGAACACTGGCACGCTCACCGATGCAGAGTCAGTAGAAGTACTTGATGGCGCGTCAGATGTATGTGGTAGGCGCAACCCTGCCGTGGTCATGAACCCGCGTGCAGGCGTCGAGGGGGACGGCAATGGCAGGCGCTGAGGAGAGACGCGTTCTGGCGTTACATCGTCTTCCTCTTCTACAACTACGCCACGATGTCCCATCGGCTTCTCGTAGTCAATGGATGGGCTGCCATTAGACTTAACTTGTGGCAAATCCCGGAGAGCGTCCCCATTACCTGCCCGACTTGCCGATGACGGCGGCCGTGGCGGCTCTGGCGTGTTGCGGAAGTGTAGCGGTAACGGCGAAGGCGGCACTATAGGCGTATTGGGCGTTGTCGACGGCGGTTCCCGCTCTTCCCGATCGTCCACAACGGTCGATGCGCGCGATGATGCTCGCTTGGATCGCCGCCGCCGGCGCTTCGGGGGCAATATCGGGGCCACCACCTCTTCGCCGCCACTGGTCTGCTCCCCGTCCGTCTGATTGACACGGGGACGCAGCCGATTGAGCAGCATCTGTCGCGCCGCCATCCTTTCCCCGCCTGACACGGTGTTGTTGCGCATTAGCCGCGGGCCGTCAGGGGTTGGAGATGATGAAAAATACGCAGGGTCGATCATTTCGGTCCCGCCAGTGAGCTTGTGCATTGCCATCATGCGTGCCGCCCCCGCACTGTTCGATCGGTAGAGCCCCATGCCCGTCATCCCCCTCTGTAGGTCATCAAGGGTTGGTAGTGGTGTCGGTGGTGTAGTTCCAGGATAGAAGAATGGTGACGCGAGGAGCCTCGAAGCAGATAGCGCGAAATGTGAGGGGATGGGGGAGACGAGAGGCGGCGAAGGAGGCGGCTCGTCGCCGGAGGCAGGCATAGCATACTCGTCGGCAGACGACTCATTTGTATGACTCGCCGAGCTGACCTGCGAGGATTGCTTCGCCTTGCCCTTGAAGTCCTTTGACCCTCGCGACCGCGTACGTGAGCGTGAGCGCCGTTTGGCGCGAGTGGGGATGTTTTCAGCAGGCCCTGGTGTCTCGGGCGCGGGGGTAGATGCTTCCTCGATTTGTTCGGGGCGTTCTTCAGTGTCCTCGGGGGTGTCCACGCCTGGAACCTGGTGCGCTTCCTCCTCCTGCACCTCTTCCCCCTCTTGCAGCCCATCTGCGTCCTGCACGCTCTCCTCATCAATCCCGTCGTCGTGGTCCATCCTTTCTCCCTCACTTACCGCCTCGACGTGCATGGGCGGTCGTCGGCCGTCCTTCATACGAGGGAGAGACGCGGCGCGCTTGAGCTTTGCGACGGCAGTCGCTCGCTGTTCGGCGACGGATGACGGCTCCATGTTCCTTCCGGCTCTGACGATGAATAGGGTAGGAGTAGACCCTGTAAACGGACTCTGTAAGATTGGCTCGACCGGCTGTCGTGGCTCGATGAAGTATGTGTGGAACGGTGGCCGAGCAAGTTTTCACCTGGCAGCGTCTGCGGGTGCGGGTTGAAAGTCAGCACATCCCTTGCCCGCCGCGACAGATGACGGGCTCACCGTGCCAGACAGCATGAAGACGGGGTTGTGGAAGAAAGTAGAGTAGGGACTGGCAATCCGGAGCGGAGAACAGGTAAAGGAGCCGGAAATGGAATATCACCAAGTTAGACTTCAACCTTGGCCATGTTCTCACCGCCTCGTGCCCTTCAGCCACTCTCAGCCCTTCCTTTCTACCGCATCCGAGTCTGGATCTTCATATCCGCTGCTACTCGAAACATTATCTCATTTCTATCTCTACTCAGTTATACTGCAACACAACATCGTCACAGCATTTATGCTCGGCCGTGAACCCGCTGCATGTGCTCTGACCTTCGCGTCGCCGTCAACCCCGCCTTGTCTCGCCATGTTGTCATGACGCTTTTATTCTGAGAGCTGGGACCTGCTTTGCTGGCATCTGGATACACCCATGCTGCGCCGGCTCGTCTCCTTCCCTGGGCGGGACACCCACAGTGCGTGCCTGGCGTAAATGTGGTGCAGCCCGTGAAATGTGCCCCTGCGGTACGTCGTCACGCTCGTCAGCATCGCAGTGCGACGCCAGGGCGGGAGCGTCTCTGAACGGCCCATGACCAGGCTGCTCGCGCCTGCTCATCCAGGCGCAGTGTCCGGAAGTCCATTTGCGCGATACGAGCTCCTGGGGCGTCTGCCAGATATGCAGTGTGTACGGCATTGCAGTCATGGGACGAGCATGCGGTAATCCGGGTCTTGAATGCCTGTCCTGTGTTCATACGCGCGATGTATTGAGGGACGCGGGCCAAGGGGCATGAACAATGTGTACACGTCCATGTACAGCACAAGGTACGTGTCGGTCGGTGCTTTCAGTGATGGCTCGTCACGCGGCACTATCTCCTGGTTGTCTCGCATGCCATAGCTGGCCATGGACGACCACGCCGACATATGTTGCTCGTGCATACGCGCGCCGGCTTGTGCTCGGATGTTGCATCTTCTTGCATCGACAATCCGATAATCCAGCTCTCGTTCACGCGACCGGGGATACCAAGTGATTAAGGTTCAAAATTACAACAAAATCCAGATGCGCGGTCACCTCGCTTGAGCAGCTCTCCGTGTTCGAGAACAGCGCGGTAGCTATCACCGACAGAATCTCCGCCGTCGGCTGAGATAGCTTCGGTACATAAATATTTCTAGATTTGCTAGAATACGCTCTCGTGTCGTTCAGTGAGGCACGTCACTGCGGTATGCAAGAATAGAGGGGGGGGACCAGCATCATGATAGTCTATATAATGTACGTGTAGAAGACAGTTATACTGCTGTGATACTTTTGCGGACGATGCTATGCCGAAGTCGACGACTGTGATGATGACGGTTCTGCGTGGGACTCGGGAAGTACTGGTGAGATTGCTTCCGTTGTCTGGCCACCAACGGGTGAATCATCAGTTATTGGTGCGAGCTCTTCATCATCGTCGTCGTCGTTCATTATGTCTACAAACAAATAGAACAATTAGTCAGCGAGTCAGTAGAGCGTTTGCACACACAGAATATCAGGATGTTGTTGATCGAACAAGAGACCTTATACCGGTTAAACCGGCTGGTCAGGTTGGGTCCCGAAGAAGGACAGCCGGGGACTACAATGCCAGTGTCCGCAACATCTTCGGCAGACTATCTACACATGCTGCCCAGCTACGGGCAACTTGCGAGGAAAGGCCGTACCCGGTGGAACACAACAGGACACTCCGGCGATAATACAAGGTCATCGAAGAGGTCTACTCACCTGAGCCATACTCCTCCGGGTGCTCCCTGAAGCAGTTCTGCATGGCCTTGAACTTCTCCACGCAGTCGATGCCCTTCGGCTCTTTCTCAGAGAATACGAAGCACGAGAACGCCTCGCGGAACTGCATGCCGCACGGCCCGTATGCCATCCCACCGAGGCATGGGCAGTCCCAGTTGATCTCGCCTGTGACGGGGTTGTACGCTCCGCCGCTGCCCTGTTCCTCCTCGCCCTCTGCGGCAGCGGGTATCGAATCTGCTGTTGGCTCGACAGTCGACTCTTCGAGCTCAGCCTGAGCTGCGGCAGATTCTGTATGTGCGTCGGCGAGGACATCAGGGGCCGAGAACTCGCTTGCTAAGGACGTTTTCTTCGATGCTATGACGCTTCACCCTCGACAACCGGTCACGGCTCGCAACGCAAATGGGACTTACAGGAAGCAACGGAGTCCAGCGCAATTCTATCGCCATGCAGCGTCTTCCACGTCAAATAGCTGGCTACGACCGCCGAACCTGCTATGACAGCACCAACACGGCTAGGGCGCGCCGTTGAACGCGGTGCCGACGTGTGTAGACAGCGACGAAGAGGTACCTTTCCCAGCACTCTGAGCATTTTTGAATAGTGCAACCAGGCGTAGAGGTGGTTGACAGTCGAAAGCCAAAGAGAACGAACGGATTACACAAAGGACGGGAGGAGGATGCCGAGGCGTGACGCAGTCCCCCGATCCCTTCCCGCGCTCGCTGACGAATATGTCCCTCCGAGGGACTCGGTGTACATCATACTCGTTACTCTTCCCTTGAGGAATGCATTATAAATCGCGCCGTTGGGTAGCGCATTACTGTATAGCTCTTAAACTACTCAACCATGCCCCTTAAGCCTGTTCTCGGACGATGCCGCATGCTCGTCGCTTAAGATGGTTCAAATGTGCTCTCGAACACAACACAGTTTGGATTCTGTGCTGGATTCAGCTCTTCGGTCGCCAAGGGTATCATAGCAATAGGAGTACTATCTCAGAGTGGATTTGCAAAATTTGAAAGCCATGGGTGAAAACCTTCAATAAATACCATATATGGCATGTTGCCTTCCATATATGTCATGGTTTGCACGTTTTACGAACCCAAACCCACACATCAACGTTCAAATCGCGATTCCTTAGCTGTGTAGTGAGCCAATACAACTGAGTTTATCCTTCTTCAACCGATAGTAAATTGTCGGTCAAAACTGAGTGAACTCCGCTCAACACACACCCAAATCGCCCTAAACAATTCTTAGTCCGGACTCTGCCGACACCGACCTGGATCATGAGTTTCTACCATTGAACGAAAGCAAGCACGGCATTCGAGCTTTGCCCTGATATCTGCCTCAGATTTCCTAGTGCTGCAATTGATCTCCTCCATTCATACGACTGTCTGACCCTCCAACTGCTCCTTCTGCATACTGTACTGCACGTACTGCACGAAACGATCGACCGAGGCGGAAGATCAGGTCGATCGCTAGCGGGCTCATCGCGTCTTGGTTCCCCGAGCAGCCTGCTCAAGGCCTCTTTCTGGTCAAGGGCACGGGGGGAACAATCACGCCCACAGCTTATTATCAACTGCTAACTCTAATCCGGAATCCACACCACCAAATTGCAGCGACGCCATCGCAGCCAAGCCTTGCTGAAACCGTATTGAGGTCATACGATCAGTTGTGCTCGAATAGGCTGGAACGCAGCCGATAGGCGATCTCGGGGCCATCCCAGCGAGAGCGCTACAAAACAAACTCTATGCAGATCCTCTGATCAAAACATTCTGGACACGAGACATGACCCCGCTCAGATCTGTTGACAAGTTCGTCGTGACCTTCTTGGTCGACAATTGCATAGAATGGTGAGTATATGCGCGTCGTCGACGTCGTCTGAGGTGTTCATTGTCGGATCTACAGGATGACAAAGTTGCCTCCAGGGTTCACCCATGAACTGCGAACACACTTGACGGAGCACAACCCGCCAATCGACCCGCTGACAGGAACTCCGTTCATAGACCTCGAACACTATTGTTGTGGTGAGTCAACAGTGCAAACGAAGGCAATCAGTGATCCTATCATAGGCATCCAGGCGCACACGGCTTTTCTGCTCTCATCGTATGTCGTTCAGTCCTTGTCTTGTACCTAGACCATGAGCGTGCGAACGGCTGGCCACTGCCTGATTCGTACGGTACAGATCAGCTCGCAGAGACAGCTCTCCGTGCTGCATTGGCATCCACCTTGTTAGGCCTTCGCAGCATGTAGTGTAGCCTCTATAGGCTGCATGATGCCTCCCTACGGAGCAGATAGTAGTTGAGCGTAGAAGTCTGTAAACGTAGCTGTACGCTGACTGACCAGATAGGAGACGCAAATCAATGGTGAGAGCTCTCACTACACACTGTTTGACACGGGCCCGGAGTCGCTCTCCATCGCGCGCAACGTCGCTGCGATGCACACTCAGACGCACAAGATCGACCGTGTCGTCCTCTCGCACTGGCACTCGGATCATAGCGGCGGGATGCTTTCCTTCCTGCGCCTCCGCGCACAGGACGTACACGAGCACGCGAAGCATGCAGCGCCGTGTGTCGTCGACCTTCACCCCAGCCGGCCGCTCGCGCGTGGCATATCCTCCCAAGGCAACGTCATCGCGCGCCTCCCGCCGGACCCTACGTTCGAGCAGATCAAGGCTGCCGGCGGCGTGCCGGAGACGCACGCCGAAGGACACGCGATCGCAGGCGAGACGGTGTGGGTGAGCGGAGAGATACCGCGTCTGACGGAGTTCGAGGACGGGCTGCCGGGTGGAGTCAGGTGGATCGAGCAAGAGGACGGCAAAGGTGGATGGGCCGAGGAGCAGGTGCGCTTAGCTGTGCTCTCCGTGTGTGCCAACATTGAGGGCGAATCGCCTGCAGCATCTAATGGACGAGCGGTATGCTGCGATCGATGTGGCAGGCAAGGGTCTCATCATCTTCTCGGCGTGCGTGCGGCAGACGCTACAAGGCCACCGGCTTGGTATTGACGTAATGCGTTGCAGGTGTTCGCATGCCGGTATCGTCAACGTGGTGAGAGACGCCGTTGTGACGTTCAAACGGCCGGTGTACATGGTGCGGCCCGAGTGTCCTAAATCTGCCGTACGCACTGAATCAATTGTGTTTCCTTTGAAATGCGCAGATCATCGGGGGCCTGCATCTCGCAGGTTCGGACCTCGCACCACGCATTGAGCCCACCGTGGACTTCTTGGCCAACCGACTGCGACCGGCGCCAACGTATGTTTTACCTATGCATTGTTCGGGATTCGCTGCGAAGATAGCACTCGAGGCAGCCCTCGGTGAAGGGTGTGTGCCTGCCGGAGTGGGACACAAGGTAGAGGTAGATGGCGATCGCGAGGCGGAGAAGACGATATTCCCACCTTCGATCCGGTAGTAGCTTCCGTCGCGGTAAACGATGTATCATCACTGTCTTCAATCAACTTGTTCGATTGGCTAAGTACACATAATTGCGCAGAGCTCTGAGCGTTTTGGACATCACCCTTGCATTTCTCATAACACGCGAATCGAATCGCGTTCGTTCTTGCTGCATTGGGCTGTCCTGATCTCCTCGACAGGCAGATCCTGGTTCTAACATCACGTTTCATTTGCTTACAGGCATCGTCGTCTGACTCGTCTTTACCGTCACTTCAAATTGTCTCGCTGCTGTTTGGGATCGAGGCTGTGGTATAGATCTAATTTCACCTGCTTCGCATCTGCTTTCCGAACACACCATCCCCATTGAGGTTCCCTACATACAGACCTATATAATGTAAGTCATATTGCCTCCTTCTTAATTCTGAACATTGCTGACTGTATGCACCTTCGGTACTGTCCGTTAATGATCTCATACTTCTGCAGGCAGGCTTCATTTGCTTCAGATGACCATGTCATGTATTTCTGTGCGCAGATGCCCGCGTGCTGCAATGTCGTGTCATCCCAAGTGTATTGAACACGCTCAAAATGCACTTACCCCCCGATTTCTCATCCCTTCGCGCATTTTGACATCCCGCAGGTTTCAAATCCCCAAACGCCACATTGCACAGTATATTCATAGCACCGACCGAGATCTCCCAACCGAAATCCCTAAGCAATAAATCTAGAGACGATTAGCAACAAACAAAGTGAGACATAACACGCTGGGACCCGGACCCGGACTCGCTTCCTTGGCTGTCATCTTTTGCGAACACGCTGGAAGCCCCCTTATGACTCATAAAACGTACCGCGCTCACACTGTTGCTGGAAGTCCGAAAGAAGTCCAAGTCACCAGCACAAGCCCAATATAAGGGAGGCGGCCATGTCGACGCAGAGTGGTTTGAAAGAAAAGGTCATGTCCGCCTCACCCGAATTCTGGACGTGGCGCTACCCTCGGCCTTCGCCATTCTGATGCAGAATCAGCAGCCATACAAACCAGGATGCATCTTCGCATGTCAAGCGGATAGTATCACCATAGACCGGCTGTAGACCATTATAGGGCTCCAAGAGAGCATCATAAATAAGTTTCAGGTAGGACATACTGCTGCTCAATCGCAACACTACGAGGAAGAACGAACGCAGCGATTGGGGAAGTATACATAGCCGCTGCAACCGCCGGTGTCATTGCGGTCACTAGACAAAACACTCCCCGTGCTCTAGACCGATAGACTTCTTGGCCGTCATGCATGCTCCACCAGCCCTGTCCATACAGAAGTAGTACTTTCCACCACGGTTCGCGCACTGGTGACCCGCCAGCATGCCCACGGAATTCGCGGGATTGCACCTACACGATATTCACGTCCGTCAGATACCCTGCTAACCTGCACGGCGCATGCGACTCACCTGCCGTTGGCCACAGTTATCCTCTGGTTGTTATTGTAGCAGTTTCCAGCGCGCGCAGCCAGCTGCATAGACACTCGTCAGTGAGACGTCTTACTTATACATAGCTCGGGGGACCTACGACGTTGATCAGTTCCCGGACGAGAGGATGGTCTTTATGCTCTTCGAAGTCGCGAGCGTAAAGCTCGTCGTCGCTCCGCGCAAACAGCGCATCGTCATCCCACACACTCCTCGCTTCCAGATCTAGCGCGTCACGAGCGTAGCTGTCCGCCAGAACGGTGGTAGCAAGGAGCGTGAGCGGGAGAAGGATGGACTGAATGAACCGCATTGTGGTCTCTGTATCGTCAAGACTGGATGTGTCGTGTTTGCTGCGTCAACATACGGATGCTCCCCCGTCTTTTATGGGAGAGAATGGGCGGGCGCCCGGATATACTAGCTAATGGGAAGCATAGTTTGGAAATTATGGGCGGCGCATCGCCAGATGTTGCAGCTTGCTGGTCGTCAGCAGCAGGTGTTTCATGGCTCGGTCACTTGTATACGATGTGGTTATAATCCCGACCTGCGTCAATAGTCGCAGGCGTGACTACCCTTCAGGTCTGTCGTTCAGCGCAAATTAGCATTGTGCAAAGCCGACAGACTGTAATTTACAAGACTCAAGGCATGACGCCGCGCCGCATATAGGAATTGCTATATGGGTATGCACGGTCGGGAGGTGATCATGGAAAGAAGATCTCCGTGAGAGTGCGCTCGGCAGAGCGAATCAGAGATGCATGTAGTGAGTGCGATTGGCATTGGAGCTATTCGGGTTTCATGGTTAACGCAGTTGCGTTTCGCCACACGGATATGTGCGGTCTATCTGAGAGCAGTCGAGATTGATTCAGAATTGGATTTCTGTCAATATGTCAGAGTCATGAGCGCAAATGTATGTACGAAATGGATCCTAGCGGTGGGAGGTGTCTGGACATTGCGTTGTTTAAGATTACCAGTGATGCGAAGCTGCCGAGCAGTTCACAAGATAGACCGGCTTAGAAATGACATGATCTACACACCTCCTGCGTTCGTGCCGCGCTTGAAAACCCTCTTTACCCGACATCCCCGTACCACGAAGTTGTACACAGCCTCTCTCAGAAACGATGTCCTGAAGATCAATTCCGAATGGCGGCATCAGCAAAAGGGGACGAAGCACACAGGGTCCCGTGACCATTGACCTTGCATGACGTCAAGGATATATTGGCATCTGGCATATCGTTTGACGTCGACATACTACCGAGTCTTAGAAGGAGCTGCGAGTCTAGCAGCATACATATGATGACTCACAACCAGACGCTGAGTCTGCTGCATCGGCATCCGTGGGCCTGTGATCGACTCCATCCGAGGGAGCACCGGCACACAGGTCTAAAGGATGAGGATTTGCTTTGAACAAAATACATCAATAGCTGGTTCTATAACATTGCGTATTACCCAACTGTGCAAGGATCGTCATCGCCTTTCCTTTCCCCATCTTCCGGACCCAAAGCATCTTCAGTCCCATTCTCGCTCCCTTCGTCGATGTCTTCGGCTCCGTCATCAACGCATCCGTAGTCGTATTCCTCGGCCTGAATGACATTGGAGCCCCCCTGGCACAAAGTCTCCGCAATCAATGCGTTTCGAGGATTTCTGGATACAGTATCCGAGCGGCGCACACCGGTGTATGTCTAATCTCTACCCGGGTGCGAAGCTGCTTCGCGTAGCTGTCGCGAGGTCTTGAGCGCAGAGTGCCATTCCATGCGGTGAGTCTAACGACGTCGTAAGTGCTATTGGTTGCCCCTCGCGTGTTTTTGAATTTGTCATCGAGAATCTAAAGGGTGTACCGTGACAAATTGCGGCGTACAAATGTGTTCAATCAAGGCGAGATGTTGGAAACGGGCCGGTCTCGATCAGTATGCCAGCTAGTCCTTGCATCGGATCTAGCGTTCTAGCTCCTCTGAAGCATATAAGAATGCTACTATTCTACTCACAGATCATCCACTTATTCCTCATCTTGTGCGTGATAATCATCGCATATTATTTTCAACTCTTGATTTTCTTCAGCAATCTTACAGACAAGTAATGAAGATACGGGTGTTGATACTGCGAAGCTTTGAGTACAGTAGTCTCATGATCCGGGCGAAACTCTCAAAAGCCTGCTTCGAGGCTTCTTGGTGCATGCAAATATCGTTGTCTTGGTGTGCAGCTCTCACGATGTTCAGTTGGACAAGGTTCCCGGAACATAATGACGATCCCTCGCACGGCACTCAAGCTCACCTTACATAGTACGGAGAAACCATCAGCGGGTGTAACAAGTATGTGGCAGAGCCTCTCTAGTATCTTTGACATGAAGTGATACACGGTTCCGGTAGTTTCTCGCTGTTAACTCCCTGCTCGGATGAGTCTGAGGCGACTTCTATGCGGAATTTGGCTGCTTGCTATGCCACCTCAACTTGGGCGGAGAGGATTCCAATCTCTACATGTCGTGCGCCAAGCAGATCATAACATAGAGGTACGTCATCCAATTGTCATCGATGCGGTGCATCTCTGTAGTCAACGGCCCGCCTTTTTCATGCCCACGCGTTTCTCCTGCTATGTAATGTATCACGCCCAATAAATGATATACCATAATTGACTTTATCATCTGCGGGTGACTGGTCTGTCACAGAAGCGAACCGATACCATCCAATAGTCACTATAACATTATAGTATGCTTGACGTTGTGTAGGCTGTCAGCCTCGCCAACCTTGCATGCTCTTGACAGCCACATGGGCCTAACCATGTATGCCGGCTCTCACAACACCTCGGAGGGTTGCCATCATGTCAATACAAGGCTGTAAAATAACAATGTTCTCTCGTAAGCTGGCCGGGCCTTACAAGGCCATGCGCGTACATGCATCACCATACATGATGCGTTCCTTTTTGCTGATGGATGACATCAACGGGCTCGTTTCCTTGGCCGTCATAGCTTGCGGACACGCTGGAAGTTCCTTTGCGATTCATAAAACGTACCGCGCTCGCACTGTTACTGGAAGTCCGAAAGAAGACCAAGTGACCAGCACAAGCTCAATGTAAGTAAGGTGGTCGAGTTGATGCAAAATGGTTCGAGAGAAAGACATGTCCGCGTTACCAGAATTCTGGACGCGGCCTCGCCCCTCATACGCTCTCGCTATTTTGATGCAGCCGTACAAACCAGGATGTATCTTCGCATGTCAAGGCGGATAGTATCACCATAGACCGGCTGTAGACCAGTATAGGGCTCCAAGAGAGCATCATAAATAAGTTTCAGGTAGGACATACTGCTGCTCAATCGCAACACTACGAGGAAGAACGACCGCAGCGATTGGGGAAGTATACATAGCCGCTGCAACCGCCGGTGTCATTGCGGTCACTAGACAAAACACTGTCCGTACTCCAGACCAATAGCGTGTCTGACCGCCATGCATGATCCACCACCCGAGTCCATACAGAAGTAGTACTTTCCACCACGGTTCGCGCACTGGTGACCGGACAGCATGCCCACGGAAGTCGCGGGATGGCACCTGCACGACGTTCACGTCCGTCAGATACCCTGTTAACCTGCACCGCCCATGCCACTCACCTGCCGACGGGCACAGAGATCAACCGGTTCTGGTTTCGGCAGGCCTTTCCAGCGCGCGCAGCCAGCTGCATAGACACCCGTCAGTGGGACGTGTTGATTGTGAATGGCTCGGGGGGACCTACGACGTTGATTACTTCCC